ATATGCCCCCATGCAACTTTGAGCAAGAGGGCGGTGTAATGCACAGTTAAACCTGGTCCTGAAGAAGTCATTCGTTATTTGAAATATAAAAAATTATTTTGGGCGGTGGCATAATTCAAAGAACTGTCACAGAGACGTGACTTCGTCATTGACATGCCTGCGAATGCGGCAACGCTGAATGAATGAATTATGGTTGCTTCAGAGTTATAAGCAATTTCACTAGACAGGCAGCGTATGGCGAAGAAGACGAAGCGGAGATGATCCGATACAACAGAATCAGGTTTATGTCAAATGGAGCACAGCAACTTGACCAGTCGAGCTAATCAAGATTCGCTATCTGGCGTACTTTGAGCGCCATCGTACGACGGATATTTTGAAAAACAGCTTCGAAAAAATTTCGTTCCCTGATCAAGTGTCTCTTTGTCGCATGACGGTATCCTAATTTGATCGTTAATCATTCGTGTTTCGCAACAGCGCAACTTTGGTGAAACAAGGAAGCACGAAAAAGAAACAACATAAGTTTACGTTCTACAAACAGTTAGACTAGACTGCTAGTTGGGCTATGGTCGCTTGTGGAAAAGCGTTCCTGAGCAACAAAACAACTTTTATTGATTCTTGACATTTTTTAAGATGGTGCAGAAGTAAACACATCTCGATGTAAAAGTCAACATGAGCAAATGAATGGTTTTGCCATAAGAAATTGACATGTCGTTAAAAAAGCAATCTGTGCGACCTACGTGAAACTTCTGCATGAAGGAGGGTTGCCATGGAAAACCCTGCAATTGTTTTTGCTAAGTGATCGAGCGTAAAAATTTTTTCAACATTAATGTGACCCATTGTCATATAACAAAGATGATTGCAGAATTTTAGATTCATTCTCTACAATTGTAGTTTTGGCCTTCCTGTTTCAAGAAGAGTCGAATGATGAAGGTGATGGACAACACATAGGATGAAGAAGATGCAGATCATTGTCTGTTTTCCTTTACATGGCAAAAATTATGATACGGTCAGGTAGTGAGGCAACAATAAAACCCAGATAGATGTCAAACATATCCATAATGACAGAGGGGATCCCATCATAGTTAATTTCCAACCAAAGTATTCCGAAACTTTTCACAGATACCGTTTCTTGTGACTTTGCACAAGCGAAACGAAAGACTCAGAAAATCATGATGGCACACAGTCCCTGTATATTGACAGCAGGTGCTGCGTCCGAGTTATCATCAGTATTCTTCGATCTACAGCTGGATGAAAGCATTTCCAATGCTTTGATATAAATATCTGTTTTCGACGATTATTATTCATTTTGTTCCAAATGAATTTATTAAACTCATGCTGTCGTCGATCTGGAGATCTTCCTATGGATCATTTACTCTCTCTTGGAAGTCTCAGATTCTAATGCCTCTCTGGTCCAGCAATGGTCACTCGTTCCTGCAACGTGTCTTTCCCACCGCAACCTCAATTCCTTCACTCATACAATTATGGCAACTATGAGTTTTGCTCTACTTATCCATTCATTTGTCGTCTTATCTTTACTTGTTATTAGCAACACATACCTTTCAGATTTATGGTCCAAGTTTCACACAGACACGTCAGCACTGGAGCGACAAATAATCGAAAATTTTCCGTTGTTAACACGGGAGCAATTTTCCGGATAAGAACAGTTTCAGTCTTCCAGAAGTGCCCCATGCCATTTTTACTTTTCTGCTGATTTCAAATAGTCGATTTTACGTTACATGGATGAGCTGTCCCAGACAGACGTAGCTTTTTACTTCTTCAAGCCTAAATTTATGGAGTTCAGCAAGTTACGCTATCACATGCCTGAGTATTCTTCAAGTTCATTTTCCATT